CTCTCTTTCTTGTGGTTTGATGGCTTTCTTTAGTATTATGTTTGGGTTCCTTTCTCTTAGTGTTTTGTGTATTTATTATTATAGGTTTCTGGTTTATTATTACCATGAGGTTCCTATATAATAGCCTACATTTATAGCAACCTATATTAAGTTGATCGTCTCTTTCATTTGACTTCTTTCTAAAATCTCTACTCTTTTACTCCCCTCCTTCCACATTTTATGTTTTTGGTATCATATCTAACCTCTTTTCTGTGCATTTGTATCCGTTACCCCCTTATCACGGAAATAGATAATTTTTTCTTACTTGTGGTCTTCTCTTTCCCCCTTAAATAAGTCCCTTTCGCATTTCTTTTAGGACTGGTTTCTTGGCGATAAACTCCTTTAGTTTTTGCTTATCTGGGAAACTCTTTATCTCTCCTTCCATTCTGAATGATAACCATGCTGGGTAGAGTATTCTTGGCTGTAGGTTTTTACCTTTTAGCACTTTAAATATATTGTGCCACTCCCTTCTAGCCTGTAAGGTTTCTGCTGAGAAGTCAGCTGATAGCCTTATGGGGTTTCCTTTGTATGTAACTTGTTGCTTTTCTCTTGCAGCTTTTAGGATTCTCTCTTTATCTTTAATTCTGGACATTTTAATTATTATTTGTCTTGGTGTGGACCTCTTTGGGTTTATCTTTTTTGGTGCTCTCTGTGCTTCCTGTACCTGGATGTCTGTTTCCTTCCTTAGGTTAGGAAAGTTTTCAGCTGTTATTTCTTAAAATAGCTTCTATGCCCCTTTGTCTCTCTCTTCTCCTTCTGGGATACCTATAACATGGATGTTAGTGTGCTTGATGTTGTCCCAGAGGTCTCTTAGACTGTCCTCACTCTTTTCAATTCTTTTTTCTTTTGTCTGTCCAGCTTGAGTGATTTCCTCCAGTCTTTCATCCAGCTCACTGATCTGTTCTTCTGTATCCTCTACTTTGCTTATGAGTCCCTCTAGTGAATTTTTCATTTCCAGTATTGTATTCTTCATTTCTCATTGGTTCTTTTTTATATTTTCCATTTCTTTGTTCACATTCTCACTGAGTTCATCCATTCTTCTCCCAAGATTAGCGAGCATCCTTATGACTCTTTGTTTGAACTCTTTGTCAGGTAGATTGCTCACTTCTGTTTCATTTAGTTCTTTCTCTGGCATTTTGTCCTGTTCCCTTACTTGGAACGTATTCCTTTGCCTCCTCATTTTGTCTCTTTCTCTGTGCTTGTATCTATGCATTAGGTAGGTCAGCTATGTCTCCTGATCTTGGAGAGGTGACCTTATGTAAGAGATGCCTTATGAGGCCCAGCAATGTGCTTCCCTCTCGTCACCAGTTCCAAATGTTCCAGGAGTGACCCCTGTGTGGGCTACATGTGTCCTTCTGTTGTGGCAGGGTTGCTCTTGCTGTAGGTGCCCAGGGAGGCTGAGCTGTCCCCCTGGCCAGCTGGTTGTAATGCTCAGCTGCATGTGGCTGTTATGGACCCTTCAGTTTCTTTCTCAGGTGTGGGGAGCCCCAACACAGTTGGCTGCAAGGCCTAATAGCACATTCCTGTTGTAGTTTTTCTGTTAAGTGAGTAGGCCCCCAGTGTCGCTGGTTGTTAGGCTCAGGGGCTTACAGTTGCTTTAGGTCTCCAACCAACGAGGCTCTTGTCAGCTCTCTTAGGATTGCAGCTGGGTGGGGCTGGCCCCAGGCAGGGGAGCACCCAATTGTTTCAGGCTTTGGAAGGTGGGGCCGATCCCCTATGTGGCTGTTTGAGAAGCACATGTCTTCTGCAGCTAACAAGCCCCACCAACCACAGGGCCACACACCCCATCAACACAATACTGCCCTGTGCATGTGCCCTGACCCCCTGAAGTGGACCCATTCAGCCCACAGCACAGGCCCCACACACTCCACCAATGCCTCACACACTCCATCCCCTCCTCACACATGACCTGCCTCACAGAGGTGGACCCACTTGCCCTGCTGCAGAGAATCCAGGCACCTAGTCTATGCAGGCCCACAAGTTGCCCTTGGGTGGGCTGCTTGCCCTGGCTGAGCTGGATTAAATCAGTGCTCTAGTGGGTGGGACAGACCCTGGGCAGAGAGGCCAGGGGAGAACTCCAACGGCATCTGCCAGTGTCTGTGTCAGCACGCCTGCACTAGGTCACAACAATGGCTGCTGCCAATGTCTCAGTCCCTGGAGAGATCTCACCTCTCACTAAGATGCACCCAGAGCCTATCAGGTGAGTCTCTTTTCACCAAAGGACTGTGCACCTTTCTTTCTGGTGATTTCAGGTTGCTTTCTGAAACAGGTGAATTTGTGTGTGGGACCTTTATGAGCTGGCTTTTTTTTTTTTTTTTCTTATGTCCGATAGCTTTTCTGGGGGTATTTCCTGTTGTTGTTAGTAGCTAGCAAGGCCATATATTATGACACTTGTCTTGGTTGTGCTGGATCCAAAGAATGCTTATAGTGGCAATGCTCCCCTGCTCAGATCCCCTACTCCTCCAGGGAAGGCTGTGTACCTTTGGGTTGCTCCCGGGCTGCTGTGAAGTGCTACAGCTTGTGAAGGTGGCATTTTTTCTCTCCAGAAGGAAATTTCTGTCTCTTTCACCTCAGTCAGGACTGTCACGTGTTGCAGGGGTTCCTCTCATCCAGTTTTCAGGTCTCTCTCAGGGGTAATTGTTCCAAGGGTAGTTGTAAGTCTGCTGTGTCTGTGGGAGGAGGTGAGTTCAGAGTTCACCTATGCCACCATCTTGACACCAATCCACTTGGCTAAATCAAAATTAAGCCTATCTGTTCCATGAAAAACTCCACAGCCCAAGTCAACAGAGCGCTGAATGGGAGAAGACATTTGTGATGCCTACAGCTGCTAAGGGATTATATCTAGAATATAGGAAGGTCTAAATCAGTAAGAGAAGGACGTGCAACTCAATAGGAAAATGAGAAGGAGAGGACAAGGTGGCTCTCAGAAGGGGATGAATGCCAAATGGCCAGCAAGTGGCTGAAGAGATTTGAACACACCAATGGTCAAAGAAACACAAATTAAAGCAACAGAAGTGGCACTGTACATCCAGCAGAGTGGTGACACTGGAAAGGGGGATGATACCAAATGTCAGTGGGGATGTGTGCTAGAACATTCAGGCATGGCTGGGTGGACAGTGGATAAATAGAGTCATTCCAGAAGCAGCTGCACAGCATTTAGTGCATGTGCTCTTTGACCCAGGAGTCCTACAGAAGCTTTTGCAGGGATGTCTGAGGGGACATGCATAGCTATGCTTATTATGGTATTGTTTCTATGGCAGAGTGCAGGAGACAGGCTCTGCCACAGGAATGTTACATGTTCAACATGGCAGATGCAAACTGTGCTGTACATGATGCAGCAGGAAGAAACACTGAATGAGCTTTTCACACAGTTCCATGGAAAGAGCTCAAAAACAGTGTTGAGAGAGGAAAGTGGGAATGGAATGGAGTTTGTAGCCCAACACTGATTATGTAAGGCGACAGCAAAGGCAGAGCCCAGACCTACAGATTTTCCAGGGAAGCACGCATCTTTAAGGTCAGACACAACATGTTAGAGAATGTGCTCTAGAGGGGGCCAGTGGGAGTGCGGATATGGAAAGAAGGGAAAATTGAGTGGAAGAAAATAAGTCAGGGGTTTGCATGCATCTGTGTTAACAAAGCTGTGATCTGAGGAGTATGGTTTTAGCACAGATCTCTGCAGCTGAGGTCCAAATAAAGAAAGAAAGAGTCAATAAAGCTCTAGGTTTTAAAATAAATTCACAAAAGTCATTTGTCCCTATATGGAGGAAACATTAAATAAATGCAGATGGGAGAATTGGATTTTAATCTAGGGAAAAGGAGATCTTAATCCAATCATATCCCAGACATCATGATGAATTCCTCATGATTTAAAAGGTAATTAAAAAAAAGAAACGGGAAAGTGGTTGCATGTTGTCTCAACTCTGGAAGGAAGAAAATGATAAGTGACAGTGGTGATTATACGAGAATACAGATTTTTACAATGCTTACCATGTGTTATGAGCTATGTACTATGCAATGAATGTTACATAGGTGGTTCTTGTTACTGCTCAGGCCACTAGTTATTATTTCCATTTTACAGATGGTTCTCTAGACCAGGGAGGTAAGGACCTTGCCCCCGAAATTGTGGAGCAAGGAGTTGACCGGCTTGGGACTCAGACCGTGGGCTCAGGGCCCATGCCTTGATCCAGGGATGTGCAGATCATTGGGATTACGGCAAAGCAAAGGCGGCTCCATGACGAGAAATGGGCCACAACCAAGATAAAAAGCAGTAACAGATGGGGAATAACAAGCTCCATAAAGATGATGGGAAAATTAATATAAGTATAAGGGCTTGTTACAGCTCTAATCCTCCAGGAAAAGTATCCAAAGCGAGTGAAAAGGGAATTTATTTAAAAGGAAGCTAACGCAGTAAACCAGTGTCTCTAGAAGCGTATCACCTCGTAAGTCATTAAAGAAATGCCAACCAATAATGTGTTATCACCCTACACAGTTATTAAGTTACAAAAAGTAAGAGCAGGCCCTAGAACTCCGTGCTGGTGAGCAGGGCATGGGCACACTCATGCATAGCTGGTGGAAGCCGGACACGCGTGCAACCCACCCACGCAAACACCCCTGCAGTGCCACCAAAGCCCCACAAGGCTTTTCTACAACTATTCCCTTAAAATGTATTTGGCTGAAGGAGGCCGTGCCCTCTCCACACGAAGACATGGCAGGTCTCATGCCCACTCGGCTCTCCCTCAGGTGTCAGGCCTCTCAGCATGTCCCTTTCAAGGTAGTGACTAAAGGCTAGATTCGGCAGAATTTCCCATCTTCTACCGACTTCTGGCTAGAGTCCTGCCGTGGGAACTCGGTGGGGTTGCCTTCTGCTCTGTGTCTCCCCCTAACCTTGCCTGTCAGGGAGGGCTGGCTTCCTGCTCTTGGCTCCGCGAGTGTTGGGTTGTCTCTCTCACATGGGTGGTTTGATGGTTGCTGGAAGGTTCCCTGCTGGACACTTCGCAGCCTTTGCAGCCTCGGTGTTCCTGGGATGGAAGTCCCTCTATTCCACGGGTGCCTCAGAAGAGATTGTGCTCTCCTCCAGGAGGGGCGGTGTGAGGGTGTGTGGTCGGGAGCTGCTGCCGCTGTTCAGAGGTGAGTGATGCGCTCTTCCTCTGCCAACCCCTCCCTCGGCTTCAGGGTCTCCTCAGGTTCATTGCATGCAGACTCTGCCTGAGTCCCTCATCCCCTCAGGCTGGGGGTTCCAGGCCGCACTACATCTGGTCCCCGGGAACATCCCGCAGCCTTGCCCCCAAGGGACTCGGGGAGGCGGGCTGTTCCCAGCGCAGCAGCCCTCTCTGGAAGCTGCTCCCATGACCATGACTCAGCTGGCACTGGCTCCCATGTGGGGGTCAGACCCCAGTCCTTGGTGTCCAAGACCTCCAAGTGGTCCCACGGAAGTGCCCTCAGTAGAACAGAGGTGAAGGGGGTGGCACCCCACACCTGTCCTCCTCAGCGAGGGAGCATTCACAACACGACGGTGGCTCTTTCCAGATAAATGCTCCCCCAACTCTCTCTTCTTCAAAACCCTCTCTCAGCACCTTTATATTCTCCTAGTTGGTGAGGGGATTCAGTAGGAACTGGCATGCAGGCAGAATTTTGGGGTGCCCACCTACTTTTGAATTTCACATGGATTCCATCTGAGAGTGACCATTAATTCGGTTTATGTCTGAGCACTAGTGAGCGCTGGACACACCAGGGGAAGATTCTGAGTGTGCAAAGGTGCCTAGGATATGGACTCTGTCTTGAGCATTCAAGGAAGCACATGGGATGGGCGGGGGGTGGCGCCGGGGCAAAGAAGTCACCTGCCTGATGACCCCAGGACAAGATTCATGGAGTAGGCACCCATTGACCATGTGTGTCCCAGGCCCATGCCCAGGGCTGGGCTGCAGGGTCCGCTAGGAATCTGCATTCTAAATGACATAAAATCTCAATTAAACTCACTTAAACTTTAAAGGGAATTTATTGGCTCAGGTTACTGACAAGTCTGGAGATAACCGACTACAGGTGAGGCTTGATCCAGCCATTCCAATGATGTCACTAAGAACCAGCTCCAGTCCTCTGGGATGCTCTTGGCTGTTCTACCTCCAAATGCCAGATTCATCTTTAGTGTGGCTCCAACCATGGAAGGAAATAGCTGCAGCAGTTCCTGACCACTCACCCTCACACCGCCCCATCCGGGAGAGCTCTACCTCTTTCTGAGGCACCTGTGGGATAGAGGGCTTTCCATCCCAGGAACCCTGAGGCTCACTCTGATTGGACCCACTAAGGTCACTGGGCCCATCCCTGGGGCCAGGGACATGCAATGTGCTGGGTGTCTTAGGTCCTAGTTTCCTGCTTCATCCTGGCCCGGGAAATTGGGGGAAGGGGACCAGCAATGTGAAAGGCAGAGGAAGCAGCGGGAAACCTGCTGATGCTGCAGAAGCGTCATTTTATGCATCATCACGTTCCCTCCCCATTTTACAGGCAGGAAGCTGCTTTGCCTGCAGTGGCATCGGGAGTCAGTGGCTATGGACCCATGTCTGAAGACACTGAAACCCAAGCTTTTGGCACTCTACGGCCTCCTAATGGGTACACGGGGGCCTGCCGGCCTGGGCACGGAGGGCCGCGGATGGCAGCATGAAGCTGTTATGCTTGGAGAACAGGAGGGCACGTGGGTTCGAGATGATCCCAGGAAGGGTGGGCCAGGCTGGATAAGAGGCCTTGAAAGTCAGGCTAAGGCAGTTGCCCCTTATCTTGAAGGACAGGGAGAGCAACGGGCAGGTTTCCAGTGAGGAGGTAGAGGGATCCAAAACCTCCCACCAGGCTTTGGAGAGAGCACAGGAGTTCTAGGGGATAGACAAGAGGCGGGGTGGGTGCTACCGGCGCCAGACACCAGGACTGTGGTGGCATCTGGGAGTATACACCTGGGTTCCTCCCGTGGCAGCTCCCGGTTATTTCCATCCACAGCCAGTACCTCCAGCTTGCCTGAGCTCGGTCTGAGGCAGAGCCTCTGCCCAGCAGGACTCGGCACTGAGCTCTGGGGCCCCCACTCACCATCCAGTCCCTGATCTCATGTACTACTGATGCTTGCAGGGATGTCTGTTCCATGTCGCTGGTCAGGAGGCACCCTGTGTCCACTCGTGTCCCACATCCTGGTCCTGTATCCTGCACCCTGTGTCCTGCCTCCTATTCTGTCAGTCTCCTCTGCATGCTGCTCACCAGCCTGCTAAATGGATGAGAGTTTTTCTCAAACAATCATGCAGGGTCTAGTGTGTTCTTTCCTGGAACAATGGAGAAATTGTGGTCAAATTTAGGACATTTAATCCCTCTCCTGAATTCCTGACAAAAATCCTCCTGGGGTGGAGGAAATCCTGGGGTGGAGGATTTCCAAACCCCTTAGACTAGCTGAGTCTTCCCCCCTTCTCCAGCTTTGCCCGCAGCCCATGCAACTCCACGTCCACGGCATTCAAAACGCAGCTCCCCTCCCTTCTTGGGTCACATGCTAGACATCTGCCCGCCTTGGCACAGGTACCCCACCAGAGAGGGACCCCGCAGGGACCGAGTGTGTTTGTTCTCTCCTGAAGTTGCATGCTGTTTTATGAACACCTGCCTCCTCCAGACTCATCTCTTGCTCTGTGATAGCATCTCCCTCAACTGCACAAATGGGAGGTGAGACGTTTTCATGGTTCTGGGACAGGAATATGAACACAGCTTTTCTGAGTGGTTTTAAAGGCGCCCTCACCTCTTGTGGATATAGTTAGTTTCTGGAGAGGAACGGGGTGGCGCTGGGTTAAATAAGTATAATCATGGGTATCTTCCTCCTTCCAACCGAGCCTGCTTCTAGAAGCTCCCTCTACAGCCTCTGACGAGGCCCCTGCCTGCAAGCTCTGGAGCTGGCCAGTGGTGTTGCTTTTGTCTGCGTGAGCACACCTCCCTCCCTGTGCCCACAGGAGGGTCAGCCACTCCCTTGTGGTGGTGAGCACCATGATCCCACCGCCCTGCTGGAGAGTGGGGCACACAGGTCCGCAGCCACTCACACCCCTGTCCGTGCTTTCCGGCGGACCTGACAGTGTGGACACGGCTGGTGGCGCTGGTAGCCACCTAGCGCCGCACAGGCGGGAGACGGCATCTGTGAGCACCGCCCACGCCCTCCCCTCGGCTTGTCACCAGCCAGTGACCAGGCCGAAGTTCTCCCCTTCCGGACCCTTCCCCATCTGGCTTCCTCCCCCGGGGACCCTCCTTCAGCTGGGCTCCTCCCGCTCCGGACACTCACAGCACGGTGGCTGGGGCTTATGGTCTCGGACCACTGGCCTGGACTTCGGGACTTGTGGCCCTCGTCCTTGAGCACCCGCTGCAGTGCTGCCCTCCCAGGGCCTGTGCATGCCCTCCTCCGGTTCTCTGCGGCCTCTGACCCTGCTTTCTGCCCCCAGCCCACTCAGTTGCCCCGCCCCCGTCATAGGTGGGGTCACGGTTAGCCTGGCTTACCTGGCCATCTCGGAGGCCTCTTCGCCGATTGCTCACCAGCTCTGGCCACAATGCACTGCACTGTGCATCTAGGAGCTGAAACGGTATTTAAAAAACATGAATCAAGTTAGCTCACTGTCCTGCCAAAAATCCTCCAAAGGCTACGCAGGACCCTCAGAATAAACCCCAAACTCCTCACAATGGCCTATACCGCCCTAGACTGTGTGCCGTCCTCACCCCGACTCCCTTCTCCCTACACTCACTGGGCCTGGCCACGCAGGCCCCTTCCGTCTCCTGTGGCTGCCAGAGGGCCTTGTCGGTTCCGTCTACCTGGAAGACCTAACCCAGATCTTCAAATGCTGGCTGCTTTTCACCATTCAGGTCTCTGTTCAAACGACCTCTCTTCAGGGGTGCTCCCTTCTCAATGCACTATTCACTCATTTATTCAACAAATAAGTATTGAGTCCGTCTATGTCCTAGATACTGAGCTCAGAGCAGTGACAAAACAAAGTCCTCGCGCATGGAGAGCATACAGTCTGGTGGGTGCAGACAGGAAACAGATAAACAAACATGTAGAAGGTCAGATGGTGCTCTGTGGTAAGAGGATGAAGCTGGTGAGTAAGTCTGAGCTGCAGCTACAGTGGGGTAAGAAAGTGGCTATTTTGTGTCACGTGGTCAGGAAGGCCTCCCTGGTAAGGTAACAGTTGAGCTGATACCTGAAGAAAACGAGGCAGTGGTCCTGTGGACACCTGGTGGGAATGGGTTTCAGGCAGAGGAGGCGGGAGTGGGCATGGCCTGTTTAAGGAAGAGCAGAGAAACCAGAGGGGGCGCGGAGTGAGCCAGGGGAAGGGAAGGGATCGGAGATGGGGTCAGAAAGGCAGAGGCAGGGTGGGGTAGGGCCTTGCAGACTGTTGGGAGGACTTTGGCTTTTACTCGGAGTGAGGTGGAGTGTCTTGAGCAGAGTGAGACGATCAGACCTCCATTTTAGAGGTTTACGCTGGCTACTGGGCTTCGTGGGAGGCAGTGTTGGGGAGGGGAGTCGGGGGTGGGGTGGAGCCGGGAGCCTATTGCTTTAGTCCAACGGCGATGGCAGTGGCTTGCACCAGGATGGAGTAGTGGACATGTAAGATGTGATCAGATTCTGGATCAGGCTCTGGGCTGGGATCAGAGCGTGCAGAGAGGGCTGCCTGTGACTCTCAGCTGTCCTCTGGGCAGCTGGTCTGGGCTTCTCCTGAGGGCTGTTGAGGCTCTGGCACCCTGAACCAGGATGGGGTTCTGGGAGCTGCTGTCTGGCCCTGCCGCGGTGCATTTCCTAGGGGGCCTCACTCTCCCTGCAGTTGAGGTCCCTGTCCATCGGCCCCCACTCAGGTCAAAGAGAGACATGCCCCTGTCAGAGAGAGGCTGGTCCCTGAAAAGCCTCTGCACCGCTGCTATCCTGGCAGTCTGCCCCCTTGCGAAGACTGTCCTATGAGGCGATTTGAAAAGAGGATGCCGACAGCCTGTGTGCCTTCTGTCCTGCCAGTGAGTTTGCCTGGCTGGATGGTGATTGGTGAGTTGACAGGGGTCATGTCACTTCTGAGTGAAGCAGAGTCTCCTGATGGCCTGCCACAGCCCTGGGCCTGCAGGGTCTCCCCTTCCTTGCCCCACGCTGACCCCAGCCATCTAACTGGACTTCTCCCTCTACTTCCTAACTCCCTGCCTCCAGTCCCTCTCTTGGGGAGCTGGCCCCGTTGCTGGTCGGGGCACCCTGTGAAGAAGGGCCCTCGCCCTGGGTGGTGAGGCTGATGGTCTGACTGGGTGCAGCCCCCCTGACCCCTGCCTGCAGCCCCGCCATGTTCTAGGCTCTCAGAGCACACCCTGGGCACCCTCTGGGGGCTGAGACTCAGACCAGGCCTTGTCCTCATGGGCAACCTTGACGCCCTACCCACCAAGGCCTAGGGGTCCTCCTCCTGGAGACCACCTGCCAGAGTGTCCCCCCGTGTGGCCCCAAAGGAGCCTGCCTGGGTGTGGAAACCACCCACAGCCTTCAGCTCCTGAGCCAGTCCATAAAGTGCTTGGTGCTTTCCTGGAGAGAGAAGCCAGTGCACCTAGTGTGTGGGTTCACTAATGTGGCTCCTGGGCAGCCCTCCAGAGTCTGGGCAAGGGTTTATGGGAATCCATCTTTGGGGGCCTGGCAGAGCCATAGGTTTTTTGAGCAAGGATTCTGGCTGCAAGTGTCAGAAGCCAGATCAAACGAGTTCAAGGGCTCTCAGAACCAAATTGATGCTGCACCCAAGGGACCCTGGCCCTAGAATCCACTTGCCTGGACCCTCCTCTGTCACCTTTGGGGCCTCTGCCAGGCCAGCTTCTTCCCCTTTAGGCTCCTGACACCTGCAGACACATGTTTCACCACTTTTCCACCAGGAAGAAGCAGGCTCTGGCCTTAGGTCCAGTTAAAAAGCACTGGGGAAGGATGCTGATTGGTTCAGGTTGGGCTGCATGTCCAATCCCGTAGCAGGGGGTGGGGCACGGTGTTTGATTGGCAGCTCCCCTCCCAACCAGAGGTGGGCAGTTTCGCAGAGGGCAAGGTGGCCTGGTCAGAGCAGACCTGCACAACGGCTGTCCCCACCCCTGCATACAGGTTTCTTGGCTTGCGTCTGGGACCCTCCTCAGAGCTACCCAGATGTGGGTAAGAAAGACACAGAAAATCACTGATCCCGTAATTGTGGAGGACACAGCAGAACCCCAGACTTCCCGCACCAGTATTTACACCCAGTGGCAATGACCATGTACCCGTGTACCCCCGAGACAGGCACTTAAAATTAGTTATTTGTCATTCTCATAAGCACCCTGCACAGGTACGAATCTTCCCATAGGTATGACTATCCCCATTTTTCCTGTGAGGAAACTGAGGCTCAGAGACCTAAAGTGACTCTAAGAGGCTGGGTCCCCAGCCTAGCCAGAGTCACATCTGGGTTAGGGTCTGCTGGGCTCCCAAACCTGGGCTCTTTCCTCCAAAAACGCCACGACCCACGGACAAGGCCAAATCGAAAAAGAAGATTCTTGGAAATCAAACAATAAATTGTAAATAAAAGAAAAGGAAAACAAATAAGCCGGGTGGAATGAGCTGACAGCTTCCACAATAAAGGCTGCACAGAAAGACAAAGATTTTTAAAAGTTTAAAGTACAGGAGTAAATAGCATTAGCTAACAGAACAAATAAGACAGAAGAAATAGTAAAATAGGGTAATTAAAAATATGCGACTCCTGATGGGAAGGGCGGGAAGGGCTGGCAGCAGAGTCCTGAAGAGCCTGGGGTGGGCTCCTGCCACCCATCTCTTCCCCCAGGGGCAGTGGCTGGCAGGCCCCACCCCCACCCCCCTGGCAGAGTGCCAAGGGAAGGTCTCTCTGCCAGCCAGGTTCCCTGCTTTCTGGAATTGGATACCCAGACCACACACAAGCTGCTGCCCGGCGGCAGCTCCGACCAGACCGAGAGGGGATGTGCCCAGAATCTCCACTGGGTCTGAGTTAGAAGTAACTGATCTCTGTGCGTGAGGATAATACCTTCCTGATTCAAGCAGTTGCGTCTCCATAAAACACCCTGCACATGCATCTATTTATGGACTCTTGTCAGATCTTAGCTGCTCACATTTCAGACAGGCCTCCCTGCCATTTGCCCTGATCTAAGAGAATTAACTGCCCGCCTGAAGGGCTGCAGAACCCGGGGGCTGCACGTGGTAGGGACACCTTTCTCAGTCTCGCCCACTGGGGGCTGGTCTCTGGCTCAGGAGGTGAGCCTGTGGGAGCCCTGGGTGGAGGCTGAAGGCTCAGTGGCTCGAGCTGGGCGCTGGCATCTGAGAGCAGCATCTTCTCAGGAGCTTGCAGACAAGGGGATGTGCGTGTTGTTGCTGGGATACGGTGGAGCCCCGGGAAGCAAGGCCCAGCTGCTTGCCAGCCATGGCATTGATTTTTACCAAAGAACTCTGCAGCCTCCTATGTCTGGGCAGGGCTGGGGCTGGAGGAGCTGAGGCTGGCTGCCAGGGGCTCAGCTCTGAGCTGAGCTTGAAAGAGAAGCCCCTTGGGGGGCTGTAGTCCTTGAGTGGCGGAGACCACGTTACCCGAACATGCCCCTCTCTGGGCATCATCCCTCACTCAGCACCTTCTCTGTGCCAGGTCTCAGGGAGGGGACAAGTCTCTCCTACCCTCATAGACCCCTCTTTCAGCAGGGGACAGACAAGGCACACGCAGAATGTGGGTGCTGAGAAGGTGGTGGAGAAAGTGAAGCAGCTGCACAATGACTGGGTGACCTTGGACAACTGCCCTAATGTCTCTGAGCCTCAACTTTCTCTTCTGTAACATGTGGATAATAAAAATCATGTGCACCCCAGAGGGTTGTGGAGACAGTCAAACGAGGTCAGGGATAAGGCTGACCTCACACTTACCAAGAATGTTGCCTCACACTTACCAAGGGCTCCACAAGTGTCACAGGCTGAACCGTGTCCCCTCAAAATTCATGTAAGTCCTAACCCCCAGTACCCCAGAAGGTGGTGTGTTTGGAGATAAGGTCTTTAAAGAGATAAATAAGGCAAAATGAGGCCCTTGTGGTGGAGCCCTAATCCAGTCTGACTGGTGTCCTTATAAGAAGAGGAGATTAGTACACAGACACACACAGAGGAAAGACCACGTGAG